CTTACGCGGAGGCGATAGAGGGTCCCTACTCCTCTCAGTGGCAGGCAGCTATGGATGCAGAGATGGCTTCCTGGAAGTCCACAGGCACCTACGTTGACGCTGTCCCCCCTCTTGGGGCGAACATCGTCAGTGGCATGTGGATTTTCAGGGTGAAGCGGCCGCCGGGTTCTCCGCCTGTCTTCAAGGCACGTTACGTGGCTCGTGGCTTCAGTCAGCGACAGGGAGTTGACTACTTTCAGACCTTCTCCCCCACCCCGAAGATGACCACTCTTCGGGTGCTGCTACACGTTGCTGCTCACCGTGACTACGAGCTGCACTCTCTCGACTTCAGCACTGCTTTCTTGCAGGGCAGCCTGCACGAGGAGATCTGGCTGCGCCGCCCACTTGGCTTCACTGGGTCTTTCCCTCCTGGTACCCAGTGGAGTCTCCGGCGTCCAGTCTACGGTCTCCGCCAGGCGCCACGTGAGTGGCACGACACACTGAGGACTACGCTTGCGGCTCTTGGGTTTGCTCCTTCTACTGCCGACCCGTCGCTGTTTCTACGCACCGACACCTCTCTGCCGCCGTTCTACATCCTCGTGTACGTCGACGACTTGGTCTTTGCCACAGCTGACACTGCTGGACTCGCCCACGTGAAGTCCGAGCTGCAGAAGAGACACACGTGCACAGACCTGGGTGAACTGCGCAGCTACCTTGGCTTGCAGATCAACCGGGACAGAGCACGCCGCACCATTACCCTGACTCAGTCACACATGGTGCAGCAGGTCCTTCAGCGCTTCGGCTTCACGTACTCCTCGCCTCAGGCCACTCCTCTGCCTACTCGCCACTCACTCTCAGCTCTGCCTTCGGATGAGTCCGTAGAGTCGAGTGGCCCGTATCCAGAGCTTGTTGGCTGCCTCATGTACCTGATGACCTGCACACGACCTGACCTTGCATACCCTCTTAGCATTCTTGCACGCTATGTTGCTCCTGGGAGACACCGACCAGAGCACATGGCTGCAGCGAAGAGGGTGTTGCGATACTTGTGCAGTACGTCGGGCATGGGACTAGTGCTTGGAGGGCGGAGTCCAGTGGTCCTCACTGGGCATGCGGACGCTTCTTGGGCTGACGACCAGGCTACGCAGCGGTCGTCGCAGGGTTACACCTTCAGTCTTGGTTCCGGCTCTGTCTCGTGGCGAGCTACTCGCTCGTCCTCTGTTCTCGGCTCCAGTTGTGAGGCTGAGATCTACGCCGGGGCCATGGCTGCACAGGAGCTTCGCTGGCTCACCTACCTGCTGACTGACCTTGGAGAGCCGCCTCGTTCTCCTCCAGTGCTGTACGTAGACAACAAGGCCATGCTGGACTTGTGTCGAGAGCAGCGCTTGGAGCACAGAACGAAGCACATTGCTCTCCGTTACTTTCTTGCTCGTGAGCTGCAGCAGCGTGGTCAGTTGCGACTTGCGTACGTGGCCTCTCAGGCCAACACTGCTGATGTGTTCACCAAGGCACTTGCGCCTTGTGACCATCAGCGCTTCTGCACTCAGCTGGGTCTTGTACCTGTCTTGCCTCACTTGCTCTCCTCTTGACCTTACTTGTACTGTCACATATATATACCTACTCTTGCTTGTCTAGCTCTATATATATATGTGTACTCCTGCATGTGAACTGGCCTTGTGGCCTTGTCGTTGTGCTCGGACTGTGTGGTGACGTTGTGATCCACCCTGAGCTTGCTCTGCTTTGCTTGACTGGTCTTGTGACCCCTTGTTCTCCCCCACTTTGCCTATGGGGGTGTGTCAGAACATATATAGCTTATGCTGTTGTGTAGGCTATAGTGGGGTATCCCATAGGGGGTACAACCCAATTAGGGTTTTCTATATGTACTCACCTCATTCATAGTTCATTCATCCTCGTTCTTCATTCTTCTCAACAGGCAGGTCGACCGCCACCGCAGCAAAGTCGGCCACCTACCAGCACTGCAAGTCGCGCGCTGCACAGCAGCGGCTTGCCAACATAGCCTGGTGCTAGTTGACAGTTGCGCACGTTGTGCACCGTCGCGTACATTGTGCAGGTGCCAAGTTGGTCGCGTGCCGACGGTTGCGCCTGAAGAGCCATGTCGACCTCGGGATACTAGACTGAGGTCAACGTGCTCGTCAACTTAACAGGTCGACACTTGCCCGCCGACTTCACCAAGTCGGCAACTCCGCAGTCGGACAAATGCCTTCGTCGACCACACCAGCTGTCTCCGTCGCCCACAAGTCGGCGCGTTCCTTCCAGGTCGACGAGTCCCTTCGTCGACCACAAGGTTGAAGTCGGTCGTCGGCTTCCCGTCGTCGGCGGCTTTGTAGTGGCCCCGTGCAGGTCGACCATTCCGTCGACCTCTTCGCCCAAGTCGGCGTCGCCTACTGGAGATGGTCGGCCGCGGCTCCCGCACATCCGACCACGAAGTCAGCTCCACCCAAGCGATGATGGGCCCAACTCTTGTTAACAGACACTTGATAAAGTAACTACTTCTCTCACTAGCCATGGCTACAAGCCTTATCTCAACACTGAGTAATACTTGCCTCTCGTCGTTATGCAAACGAGTTGGCAAAAAACAAGGCGGATGTTACTTGCCTCACCTTTTGCCCATGGCAAAAAACCCTTTTTGGGTCGCTCTAAATCTAGAAATCTCATCAATTCAAATGCAATGTTAGGCAAGTTGAACTAGATCTGGCGATTTTGCACGCCAGATCTCGATTGACCATCAGGGCAGCGTATCTTCCATCATCTTCCACCCCACTTGTCCAAATTGGGTTTTATAGCTATCAGTCGAGATCGTTATAGCTTGAGACTATACATGGGCAAACGAGTCGAGTTTTTCCTCGCCTCGTTCGAGGGACTCGAAACGCTCGAGTTTCGAGTTTGATTTTTTGTTGGAAAAACTCGGACGCACGAGTCGAGTTTTACTCGCGAGTAAAACAAAGCTCGTGAAAAACTCGGGTTTCCCACGAGGTTTTTCACGACTCGCGAGTTTTTTAGACTCCCGAGTTTTTTCTATCCAGATTCGAGTTTAAAAAAACTCGCGCGTCACCTGGGTCAGATACAAATGTGAAAAATGTTCATTTTTCAGATCTGGTTTCCAAGATCTAAAAGGAACCACCATTTCGTAGGGTAGTTTCTAGGTGTTCTACCACACCTAGAAACGTCCGCTCAGCCTACGTGTTCTTCTTAAACAAAATCGCACTAGGGTTTCAGTCAGGTGGAAGGATAGTGACACCCGCAAGCATTATAACACACTTCAATTTCGGACCCATACGTCTTCTCCCCTTGTATTAGACTAAGTTAAGGTGAAAACAGCTACTTTGCACGGTTGGCTTTGGAGTGACTGCGTGGAATAGCATGGTGCGTGGTAGATCGGGTGCAGGGAGAGGAGGGAGAGTACGGGCGGAGGCGGTAGGGGAGCAGGACGAGGCGGTGAGGGTGTCAATGGAGATGACATCGAGCTCCACGCCCTCCCCAGATCGGAGCAACACCGTTATCAAGCCATTGCAACAGCTGCGGACGCTGCAAAGGTGTTGCAAGCGTCCGCCAAGGGTGGTGGGCGGGGTAGAGACATGGCTTCTGCGGAGATAACTGAAGCAACGGGAGCTAGGCTACGGGCTACGGGCTACGGGCTTAGTCGTTTCCTTGTGTTCACGCTGCTTGCTAGTTCACGGGGAGAATTGGCAAGAGTTTCACTAGGAAAAGATGACAACAATGATAGCAACAACATTGGCAACATTGACTACATCAGAGCTAGCTAGGCTGCTGGTCGACCTCCAGCGCAGCACGGTCGACCGTGCTCCAGCGCAGCAGCGCTCGCACCGCTCCAGCGTTGCAGAGTAGCGGTTCGCCAACGTTGCAGTCCACGGGGTGCCAACGCTGCAGCAAGTCGGCTGCACAGCGTTGCACTCGCAGGACAACGGTGCACCTGCTTCGCAGGTGCGCGCAGCTGGTTGGTGCGCACTTCCTTGTCACGTGCACAGCGCAGACGCCTGGCAGACTCCATGCCAGCGACTGTGCCCACCAGCCACATCGACCTCGGGATACCACCCCCGAGGTCGGCCTCGCAGACTCCACCCTGGCGACACTCGCGCACGTCGCCCGGGTATCCCGGTCGACCGGGCAACCACGCCCGGTCAACCAGCACAATCCACAGCCGGCCACCAATGCCCGGCGTCCCCAGTCCGCCATCCAGGTGCCCAGGACACCTTCCGAACCCCCAGGTCGGCGTCCAGACGCCCAGGACGCCGAGCAGACCTCCAGAGCGGCGTCCAGCCTCCCAGGACGCCGACCAGACGCCCAGGTCGGTGTCCGGGCCCCCCAGGACGCCCAGGTCGGCGTCCGGGCCCCCCAAGACACCGTGCAGACGCCCAGGGCGGCGTCCCAGGCTCCTGGGACGCCGTGCAGACGCCTAGGTCGGCGTCTGGCCTTCCAGGACGCCGTGCAGGCGCCCACGGCGTCGACCAGGCGCCCGGGTAGTCGTGGCGACGCCCAGCTCGGCGTCCAGCTTCCCAGGACGCCGTCCAGGCGTCCAGGACGCCAACCAGGCGTCCAGGACGGCGTCCTCCTGCTCGGCGCCCTCCATCCAGGCGCTCTCCAGCTCGGCGCCCTTGCAGTGGCCCCCGTGCCCACTGCTGCAGGTCGGCTGCAACCCCCGCACATCCGACCACAAGGTTGGCTCCGCCCAAGCGAGGACGGGGCCTAACAACACTCCCGTTGACAGCTTTAGGGGGTTCTTCCGCCGCAGGTACATCTGCAGTGGCCGAGCAGGGGGCGGTAGGGGACGTTGCTGTCCCCATGGTGGCGGGGTCTGCCGTGGCTGGAATGGGGGTTGATGGGGCACGGCAGGCGGATGATAACCACAAGGGGGGGGGGGGGGGGGTGGGGGCGGCGGACCCATGCCTCAGGTGGAGATGGAGGCGGGGAAGGCGGAGGGATTGCGGAAGGCGTGGGGGGAGGCAGCAGGGGGGGTTGTAACAGAATGGTTTAGCAATGCATTCATGGAGGAGTTGTCCGACCAAGTCATGAGGGAGAGTGAGGGTGGGAATGATATTTTTGAAAAGGGGGGAGGGGAGGAGCATGGGGATGAGGCAGATGAGGAGGAGGAGGAGGAGGAGGAGGAGGAGGAGGAGGAGGAGGAAGAGGAGGAGAAGGAGGAGAATGAAGAAGGTGACAATTCTGAGGAAGAGATGTACAATGCGGAGGATGATCAGGTTGAGGAGGATAGGGAAGAGGACTTTGCTGGATTGGAAAATGAGGAAGAGGGGGGCACAAACTCACCACGAGGTCTACATCGGGCTACGAAGGCGGATGCGAAGGGGAAACGTGCTATGGCCGACCAGGAACCTTCTAAGAAGCGTGGTGGCGGATTGAGGCGGGGTCGCGGTGGGGGAAAGGTTGGAAGAGCGGGTGGGAGAGCGCGTGGAGGAGGGGGACGAGTTGCAAAGGGGGGGGCTGGTGGTGACGGAGGCGTGGGTTGTTCTCAGCCACGTCCACCACCCAATGCTGCTCCTACCGCGCCTGCGGCTGTGGTTAAACCAAAGGCCACCAAAAGGCCTAGAAAGACCCGTTCAGCTGCGACACCATGTTTCGAGAATTTAGGCGCCAAGGACGGACGACGCCGTTGTCGCAAGTGCAGCAGGCTCATTTCGTTCGCGGGCAGTAACACATCGACCGGGGAGAACCACATGCTTGTCAAGCATAGGGCACACTGGGACATTTGGTGTAGGAAATGGAATGCCGGTGAGATTCTAGAGGGTGAGGTGTTCCCTGAGGGTGGGTACGGAGGTCCCAATGAAGTACCCGATGGAAGAAATCCATGGCCTGGTTCAGAAACATGGCCTGCTCCCCCCTTCGACTTCGGGTCAGAGCGATCAGGGCAGCAGAGCATGACGAAGTACACTGCGCCGGGTGTGAACAAAGAGGTGCTTTGGCAGGCCATAGTGTAGTTCTTTGTGGCAACCGACCAGTCATTCTGCACCGTTGATCATCCAAGCGTAAGTGCAAAAGCAACCCCCTATCCCTTGAGTGGTTGTTGTTGTGTGTGCAAAAATTTTATCAACTTCACTTTGCCACCATGCGCGTTCTGCCTTTGATTATGCAGTATCCACACAACACAACCATGTTCCCCTTCCCGTCCGCACATGAACCAGCACAACTCCCTCCTTTTCCATCGTTAAAATGTTGCAGTTCAGGGGGTGATCCCAACGCGATACACGCTAGCGAGAGCCATCGTTGAGATGGCGAAGCTAGCAAAGGCAAAGAGCAAGGCGTTGTTACACGCCGAAGGGGTTGGGGCGGTCTCGCTGACATGCGACATATGGACAGGGGAGAACCAGAGAGGGTATTTAGCGGTGACGGGGCATTGTGTGGATGCCAACTTTGAGCTCAAGCAGTACACGCTTGCGTTCATTGCTTTGCCGTCAAAACACACGGCGAAGAAGATCGCTGAGCGGATTGAGGCAGTGTTGGTGGAATGGGAGCTGGAAGAGAGGACCATGGCGTTGACAACGGACAACGCCAGCTCGAACGTGGCGGCGATGGATATCCTCTCGCGCGAGGGCCCGACAGACATGCCCCGCATGTTCAAGACCGGGATGCACATCCGGTATGTTTCTTGTGTCCGCTTGTGTTCATGCCTGCTCCCTCGTTCACCTGTTAGTGTAGACAACTTACAAACAACACCGTACATCTGATCTGAGTTATTCCAAACCAAAACCAGAACCACACCTCATCACCCAACAGGTGCCTTGCCCACGTTTTGAACTTGGCCATTCAGTTGGCTTTGAAAAACGTGGATGAAATCAAGTTGCCACTCACCTTGCTCCGCGAGCTTGCGTCCTACATCGGCTATTCGCCACAAAGGACGACCCTCTTCGAGGCGGAGCAGGAGGATTGGCGACCAGGGAAGCAGTACATGCGCCTGCGGCAAGACAATGAAGTGCGCTGGGGTTCCACTCTGCAGATGATCTTGCGTGGACTGGACCTGCGCGATCCAATTGAGTCCTACATTCGGCACACGGTTGTGAGCATACCATCGCCCACCCGCCTTGCCTCCCCTTTGTACCCGCCCCCCAATCCTTGCCTCCCCTTTGTACCCGCCCCCCAATCCTTGCCTCCCCTTTGTACCCGCCCCACTCGCCTTCACTCACAGGCCAATGCTCCAGTTGATGCGCCGCCGTTGCGCCTCCAGGCGCATTTCTGCCGAGCAGTGGGACGCGCTTGAGGAGCTTGCAAAGTTCCTCATGCCCTTCAACGCTGTGACTTTGGCAGCGGAGGGGTCCCTGTACCCGACTGCGAGCCGGGTAGTGCTGCAGTACAACGAGCTTATGGATTCGCTCGAGAAGATCAGGGACAGCACCACCTCCCCTCCCTCCGTAATCATGCGGAAGTGCATCGATGCCTCCTTGGGCAAGCTGCAGGTGTATTACTACAGCAGCAGTGATGAGCTGTGTGTAGCTACCTTCTTGGACCCGGCATTCAAGCTCGGGTACGTTGAGCTCGAGGACGGGAGCAGCAACGTGGGCAGGGCGGTATCTCACGTGCCCTCGGAGGAGGTGCTGGCTCTTGTGCGTGCGAAGTGGCAGCCATACAAGGAGAAGGTGCGGCGAGAGCGAGAGGCGGCTACTGAGAAGGGAAGAGGGGAGCTGATGGTGGTGGGCTTGGGCGGGACTAGCAGCACAGCGGCTCGGGGGAGTGGCAGCAGCAGCGGGAAGACTCGGGGGGGCCTGAACCTGTTTGGGGGCCAGAATCATGATGCGGGAGGACTCGTTGCACGCCTCAATGCATTGCGTGCGAAGCAGGCAGCAGAGAACAAGGATGAAATCCAGATTTACCTTGAGGAGCCCATGCAGCCCCTATCCACCAACCCCCTTGCATACTGGCGTCGTAGGGGTGATTTGGAGGGGCTGCAGGCTATGGCCAAGGACTACTTGGCTATTCCAGCCACCTCTGCTGCCAGTGAGAGTCTCTTCTCACAAGGCAGGAACCTCATCACATGGCAGCGGCACAGGTTGGGTGCTGAACGCGTGGAGGCATGCATGACCTTGAAGTTATGGATCGCTTCGTACCCGGGCACCCCATTGGGAAAGGCCGCCAAGGTGGCCATGGTGGATGACAAAGTGGGAGTGGACCTGGATGAGGACTTGTGAGCGAAGGGCCCCATTTTTGCATGTTCAGATCAGGATAGTAGACATCTTTATTTATTAGACTAGCTATTCTCTAAACTAATCTCCCCCTCTGACGCTCACCAGGGCGCTAGACCTGGCCTTTCTTCTCAATATGCTTGGTACATTGCTGCTGGTTTGTAACCGTTGTCTAGGTTTCAGCAGGTGCTTGAATGCGTGGCTTTCATCTGCGGGAGTGGGCTGCTGGAGGTGTTTCCCCAAACCTCTTGTCAGGACACTATTGCAGCCGGCGTTGTGCAGCACGGTTGGGGTGTGAAAGTGTGGGGGTGATGTAGGGCTGGAATGCTGGTGGGTGTTGAGTTGAGGGATGTCGACCTCAAAATTGTAGTTGCTATGTTGAGTGGGCGTGGATGGACCTTATTTCTGTGCACCCTCTGGCTGGTGCTGTGTGGCTAAAGTGGTGGCTGTGGGTGCTGGTTAAGTTCGAGTCGAGTTTTACTTGACTCGAACGAGCTTTTTCAAAACTCGTACGAGCTTTTGAAAAACTCGAGATTATGGGCGATTTTCGAGTTTGATTTTTGGCCAAAAAAACTCGACAATTAAAACTCGACTCGACTCGAGTGCAACAAAAAACTCGCCAAAACGAGTCAAGTTTTACTCGACTTGCCACTAGCCCATATTTACTTGAGACTCTCACTTGAGACTATAACGAAGTGACCCAGGCTGATCTCGAACCGGTCGGGATCGGGCCTGAAAAGGTTCCGGCGAACCTCTTTTGGTCCATGTGCATATGGCCAAACCCAGGCCGTAGATTTGCTCGGCCGGCCCGAAGGGCGGGCAAACCAGGTTCGGCCCAGATTTTTGGACAGCCCAGCCAGGTTCGATGTGGTGGGCCGAACATACATGCATATCACTGTATGTTGGTTGTTTTGTTTGCCATGTCTAGGACGTACAAAATGTGACCTGGGAAAGTGACCCTGGACACATGAAAAACCAGTCCCGGGAAAGTGACGCGGGCCAAACTCAAACCGACCCGAGTCGGTCCGAATAGGTTTGGATGAACGTTTTTCGGCCCGGGGTAGTCATGGCCGAACCCGGGCCCAGGGAATGCTTGGCCAGTTTGGGTCAGGCGTAACCAGTTGCCCGGTTTTCTTACCGGCCCGTTCAACCGAGCTGAACCTCATCCCCACTTACAAGGTTACCATATTTGTCAGCAAGCCAATGTCAGTGGGGATGGAGTTGGTGAGCTGGTTGGCAGAGAGGGAACTGTTCAAGACAAGGAGGCAAGAGACACGTGGCGGGTGTGCAAGGAAAGAGACAAGTGGGTGAGAAGGTAGGTAAGACGCTGGCAGTGGCATGAGATTAGACATGAGCAAACTTGGGCTGATGCGAACGTCACCAGCCAAATAGCCAAACAAGGTGGAGTTCCAATCACTTCGGGCCAAGTTGACTTTTAGGATGCCTGGCCTGTGGGCTGACTATATGGGTTCGACCACTGGCGGTTCGTCACATACTAGTCCTGGTTTGGCCTCACTAGCATTTGTCGTTACAATCGCATGCTTCCAAGGTGGATAAATATTCTCTAGAGTATGTGTCAATTCCTCAATCCACTAGAAATTGGTAGTGCAGGCAATTGTCGCCAAAGAATCACCATCTTCCAAAAAAATCGCCCAGCTTGTTCCCCACCTAGATTGGCATGGTCATGGCAAACAAATAGTAGTTCTAGTAGTCGTACCATGTTTCTTGCACATTCCGCAGTAGTTTCTGAAAGAGGAAAACAATATTATGGATTTTTACGAAAAAATCGATATAATTTGCACATCATTCAATACCCTGGGTTTGGCCCGGTTGGGTCACTCCTTTGGTGGCTCGACCCGACCAGGTCTACCCGGCCTGACCCGGCTCGACTCTCGGGTCAGGGTTTGCCAGCGGTTTGCCTAAAAGGCCGAATATACTAGCTGTTCACCCCGAGCAGGAACATGTTCGAGGCAAAAATGTCCGTGTTCGTTTTTTAAGCTCATTTTATGGGTTTACTGGCGTAATATATGTTGACATTGACATTGGTTTCAAAATAAAGCTCAGGCTGTACCACCCTTCCACCCCACCTCCCCCCCCTAAACACCCCCCAGGCTGGTCCCGTCTAGCTGGTCGCACGGGAATTTGACGGCGAAATGCTAGATCCGCATGGGACGGTGTAAATGGCGACTACGTTTGACTACCTAAGAATTTGGATCAGAGGATATTCTTGACAAACATATTTGTGTTCGGCGCGGCGCGGCCAGCCTCGACAAACCGAAAACCAACATGTCCGGACGAACACGAACATAAGGCCAAAAACAATATTAAAAAAATAGTTCTGTTTGTCTCGGACATCCTCAAGACGAACCGAACAGGTGTTCGCCAATGTTCTCAAGCCTACTCGAACATGTTCGAATCGAACTAGTCCAAACATCTGAAATTGTCGAACTGAACAAGTTCATTTTGAGTCGAACATTCGTCAGGGGTGTCATGTTCGTCTGTTTGAGCCGGACATGTTTGGAGTTCAGTCGACCCGACCCAGCCTCGGGTCATAGCCGGCCCGCCCCTCTATAAGCCTCACGGATGAGTGGGTCAAAGCCTTGCTTCCAACATGGATCATTCGAGCCGAACTAGGGTTGAGCAAGAGGCGAACACGAACCTGTTTGCGTTCGCCCCTGCACGAACACCGCTGTTCGGCGAACCGAACACTGTTCGGTTCGCCAAACACCTTTAGCAAAAATATGTGTTCGTCGTTTGCCTGTGAAGGCGAACACCTTGGCATCGAAGGCGAACACGAACGTGTTCGTCGCAAACATGTTCGTGCTCGCCCCAGGACTACATTCACTGTAGTCACACATGGCAGACATTGAATTTACCCCCCCCCCTCTCCTGCCATCTGATTTGACGTCGAAAAGCCATATCCGCGCATATCTGATGGCGGAATGTAAGATCCGCGCATATCTGACGGCAAAATGTCAGGTCGCGAAGTGTTTGAGCTAAAAAAATGAGCTCAAACACAAAGTCCCGCGACCTCAAAATTGGTCGCGGGACAATTCGTCGACGAACACATTGGTGTTCGTCGAAGCCCCATGTCGAACACGAACGTGTTTGTGTTCGACGCGGCCCAGCAGCAGTAGCGAGGCGAACACCGAACGTGTCCGGGCAAACACCGAACACGTTCGCCCCGAACAATTTTAGCCAAAAAATAATCATGTTCTGTTCGCCTCGAACAGGTGTTCGTTTTCTTGCTCAAGCCAAACCCGACCCACCCTCGGATCACACCCGGCCCACCCCCTATAAGCCCCGGCTGGTTCGGTCACCCTGGGGTCCTGATTCAACTACGACCCGACCCAACCCAAACGTAACCGACTCAACTCGACCAAAGAGGGTTAATCCAAACAAGGGTTCAGGTTTTCGCTCTGTTGTACCTACCTAACACCTGAAATATAATCCTTCATACCAATCTACCTGGCATACATGTGTTCTTATATTGCACGTGGTATGTGCGACTTACAAGAAAGTGAGTTGAGCGAGAGAAGTAACAGTAGACGGAATGCTGCCTGAAAGTTGGTTCCCCAAAAAATCTCTGAGATTTGAAGGGAAGAAGCAGAGTGATAGCAAAAATATGTTGAAGTAAGAGAATGTAATGATAGTAGGCTCAAATGGGGCAAGGTGTCGTGAAGGAGATGGTAATGGATGAGCTTCGCCAACAATTGTTGGAGGCCCCAATTATTGTTGCATTGGTTGAACCAACATTATTGGAGGCCCAATCATTGTTGGGAACCACAAATTGTGGTTGATCGCGCACTCAACAGCCCTACACCTATTCTAGTATATGAATGTTGTTTCAAATAGATTACACAACCCCCAACATACATAAGGCTAGAAAAACTAGAATTTCGTGTTGGGAGGGGTGAGACCAAGGAGGCGAATGAAAGAGGCATGCGCACCGTCAGTCAATGCCTTGGTGAAGATATTCGCGAGATTAGCTGCCGAGTCAATCTTGCCAAGTAAATTTGGAGCTCGATGTGCTTAGAACGTCCATGAAAGACAGCGTCCTTGGTGAGATGAATGGTGCTGGCATTGTCATACCAAATGGTGGGACGGTGCTAGGGAGCACCATGCGCCTCAAGAAGAAAAATGAGCCAGCGAGCCTCGTGCAGCCATGGTGGCGGCATGCAGCTCCGCCTCGCGGGAGGAGAAATCGATGGCGAAGGAACGGGTGAGACCGCTAACAAGAGAGAAGCCATAGCCTTGATAGAAGCGACGATCCGGGCGAGAATCAGCCCAGGACGAGTCACTGTAGCTGTTTAGGAGCGGCGGGGAGAGGGGCTGTCAACGGTGAGGACATAGTCCTTAGTGCCTCGAGTGGATTGGAGGACACGCTTGGCGGCTTGCCAGTGCTCAGTTGTGTGGTTGCCAACGCCAACAAAACGAGCAAGGACGCTGATGGAGTAGGCAAGGTCGGGCGGGTGGACACCATGGCATACATGAGGAAGCCGATGAGCTCAGGATAAGGATGGGAGAAGGAGAAAAAGGAGTGGGATAGGGCTATCGCGCGCCATGTCAAACTGCTCCAAGATCTGCTGCAAGTCATCACCCTCAGAGAGAGAGATGGTGCAAGCAGAGCAATCGCGAGTGATGGTTAAGCCCAGGTAAAGCTGCGGCTCTCCTAAATCCTTGCAATTGAGACGATTGCCCGATTCGGCCTTGACCCGCTCCAGCTCAGCAAGGTTGGCAGTGAGGAGAATTATGTCGACAACGAGGATACAGAAAGGGGAGGTGGAGGCGCGGGAGAAAAGGCTGGCGTCAGAGCGAGAGGTGCGAAACCCAAGTTCTGCAAAGTAGACAAGAGCAGTTTTCCAAACCAGGACTTGATTCGGGCCAAACCATGAAATGTTGGACAAGCTGAACTAAATCTTGCAATTTTGCATGTCAGATCTCGACTACCGGGACAGCGTATTGTTGTGTGACGTTATCATTTGCGTTCAGCTTGTATCCCATCA